ACTAAGTAAGCAAGTCAGGCCTTCCTTCCTGAACCCCCAAAAGCAGCTTTTGTCACCAAGCCCAGCATGGGTTTTTGTTTTTTTTTTTTTTTTTTTTTTTTTCCTTTATCTTTTTTGAGACAGGATCTCACTATGTAGCATTGGCTGTCTTGACATTTGCTATGTAGGCTAGGCTAGCTTCCAGTTAACAGAGACCTGCCTGCCTCAGATTCCTGAGTGCTGGGATTAAAGGCATGTGCTACCACACCCAGCTTTTTGTTTTCCAGTGCTGGATTACAACATCAGACTTTAACAACTCCAGCCCTTATTGTGATCTGCATTATAGAATGTCCTCTTTATGAGTCTGGAGAGATGGCTCAGCAGTTAAGAACACTGGCTGCTCTTGCAGAGGACATGGGTTTGATTCCCAGCACCTAATGGCGGACTTACAACCATCCATAACTCCAGTCCCAGGGGATCTGACACTTTCTTCTGATCTCCTTGGGCATTGCACACCATGGGTGCACTTACACATGTCCAAGCAATACACTCATATGCATAAAATAAAAAAAAATAAATGGAATATTTTTTAGAAATTTAAAAAAGAACGTCTTCTTTATTTAATTTCAGTGTCTGGAAACATCATGACCTGACTCATTAAAATATTTAAAGGTTTTTGTTTTGTTTTTGTTTTTGTTTGTGAGTTTGATTTTTTTCTTTTGTTTGCTTACTTATATTTAATATTTCAGATAGGGTCTCTCTATGTGACTCAAACTGCCTGGAACTCTGTGGGTAGCACAGACGGAAACTGAACTCTTAGGTATCCTATCTCAGACTCCCCAGTGCTAGGTAAGTTTGTGCTTTCCTGCCCAGCGTTTCAGGAAATGTTTATGTTTAGGAGGAAAGAGTAACAATTATCTCTGAGTCCATATTTCCACTTCATGGGGCTTTATTTGTTGTTACTCCTTTGGTGTGTTTCGGGTTTTTTCTTTTCTTTCTTCTTTCTTTCTTTCTTTCTTCTTTCTCTGTTTTCTCATTTTTCTTTTTCTTTCCTTTTCTCCCAACTTCATGGCTTTGTTTTTCTGTGGTTCCTACACACACACACACACACACACACACACACACACACACACTGAATCAGTTAATGCTCATGGATGTTGAGCCACAGCCTCAAAAGAAAAATGAGCCTCCATGCCCCAGCAACCATCAACTGCCAACAGCTTTTGAAAAAGGAGGAAGAGGAGGAGGAGGAAGAGGAGGAGGAGGAAGAGGAGGAGAGAGAGAAAAAGAAAGAAAGAGAGAGAGAAAGGAGAAGGAGAAGGAGGAGGAGGAGGAGGAGGAGGAGGAGGAGGGAGGAAGGGAGGGAGGGATGGAGGGAGGGAGGGAAGGAGGAAACCTATATCTCACCTTGTGGTTTATATATGTGATCCCAGAACTTCAAACACAGAGCCAAGAGGAGTCCAGGTTTGTTGAAGACCAATTTAGACTAAATTATGATGTTAAGGCCAGCTTGAGCAATACATTAAGACCCCATGTCAAAAAATGAAAATTATAAACAAAGCAAAACAGTAGTTGGACTCTATGAAAGATGCACAAGAAACCTTTTCTTTTCTTTAGATAACAGTAATATGAAGTAAAAGAAAAAAATGTGATTTCTAAAAGTATATTGAAACTTTGGTTGGCCTCTAGAGGGCATCGAAGCATAATAACTAGAGCAGTTTTTAAAAGGGCCTAGACAAAAAATACATCTTGTTTAGTCTCTGGGTGAAATACCTACTTGAGGTCATCAGCTTCTTTATCTGAAAATTTGAGGTTTATGAGCTTCTAAAGATCATTATTTTCTGGGTGGTCATTAAACCTTATTTGTGATTCCAAAAAAGTCCTTCCCTAAAGGACAAAGGTCATTTTTCCTCTAACTTAGGAACTTAGTCCCTTCCAAAAAATGAAAACTTCAGATTTCTAGTCACGTAGAAGTTAACAATGACAATTTTAATGGATAGAGTTCTAGTTTGCAGTACAGTCCTAGCCTACCATACACAAGGACCTGGGGTCCATCCTCAAAACTCCACTCTTCCAAACCCCCAAGATTAGCAATTTCCAGACAACGCATGTTAAAATCCTGGAGATTTTCCAGAATTTAAGCTCAGAATTTCTCTCTCTCTCTCTCTCTCTCTCTCTCTCTCTCTCTCTCTCTCTCTCTCTCTCATATTCCCTGGGATGGGATAGTGAAGGGGCACTTGTGTGTTTGTTTTTAAAGTAAAATACACTTTAGAGCTGGTTTTCACTAGCAGTCATTGTGAAATGCTTCCCCATATCAGTGAAGAGTAAGTTTAAATTATTTACACCCAGGAAAAAAAAATCAAGCAATTTTATCCTCAGAACCGGGAATGTCCTTCAGGAATGTTCGTCAGTCCATTCCGGAACTAAGAGAACCAGAATGCATGTTCGTAGCACTGAGGGGGCTGGAGAAATGACTCAGCTGTTAAGAGCACTGGTTGTTCTTGCAGAACAGTGCAAGAACAGCTTCCGTTCCCAGCATCTACATGGTGACTAACAACCATCCATAACTTCAGTTCCAAGGAACCTGATGCCCTCAGCTACTGCACAAACATGGTACACTTACAAATAAAATAAATTTTAAAGAATTAGCACTAAGTCAGTTGTTTGATTAATGCTACCTGTTCAGTTAGCAAAGTGGTAAACTAAGTTGTTTCCTCATGATTCTGTCATTGCACTTAGGCAAGCTAACTATATATACATATATTATATTGTATATATATAGACAATATGTACATACAATATATAGTATATATTATTGTTATATACACTGTACAGTAATATATATTGTTATGTATATGGAGAGAGAGAGAGAGAGAGAGAGAGAAAGAGAGAGACTCATGTAGCCCAGGCTGGCCTCAACCTTGATATATATAGAGAATGACCTTGAACCTCTGATCTCCTGCCTCTATCTCCCTAAGGGTAGGACTGCAGATGCACACAATCACACCCATTTTAACACACTGAGAATTTAGGAGGAAAATTCTTTGTCACTTGTCAATTAATTGCAATCATAATATGTTTTATGGGCTAAATTAAAGCCTTGGGTATCTGGTAGTGTCCTCCTTATCTGTCAGGTTAACTCTGCTTCCTTGCTTTGATTGAGAGTTAATGTCATTTGATCTGTAATGAAGGAATTATCCTTGGCTCTATAGTGAGTTCAGGTATAATCTGGGCTACATGAGACCTTGTCTCAGGAACAAAAAGAAAAAGAAAGAGAAAGAGAAAGAAAGAAGAAAGAAAGAAAGAAAGAAAGAAAGAAAGAAAGAAAGAAAGAAAGAAAGAAAGAAAGAAAGAAAATCAATGTGTTGCTAAGTACAATGACCCATGCCTAGAATCCCAACACTTGGGAGGTAAGGTCCACCACGTAGGGAGTTTGGAATATGTAGTGAGACTGTCTCAAAAGACCACAGAAGTAGCACAGTGATAAAGGGCTGAACTTGCTGGCATAAGCCCTGGGTTCTACCCCAGCACCAGGAAAAATCAATGCGTTGATACTTACTGTGTCTGTTTGCACAGTAAAGAAGAAAACTTTATTTTTTAAAAATATTTTATTTATTATTTTTATTTATGTATATGAGTGTATTGCCTGCATGTATGTAAGTGCGTCCATCCCATGTTGCACAATGGCCACAGAGGTCAGAAGAGGGCATTGGATCCCCTGAAACTGGAGTTATAGAAAATTTTTAGCCACCATGTGGGTGCTGGCAGTCAGGAACCCGGATCCTCTGCAAAA